TGTCGGCCGAAACTAAAGTATACCTACCCTATCTACGACTCCATTTTTTATTGTGAATACAGCAACGTATCATACAGTATGATCTCATAACCATTTCTCGCGGAAAATGTTCTGTTGTTCTATTGTCATAATAATACTGTTGTTTGGTAAATTTTTTTTGACATATTACCGTTCCTACTTTTACATTTCGTTAACTACCTAAATTGTGTTAAAAATGGAAAACGGAAGCTTTTCGAATACTGAAAAATTTGATATGTTGATATGTTGCATTTTGTGCCAAAGAAATTGTGTTGATGCTGAACGAGCGTACTCTAATAAGTATCCAGAGAGGCGACAACCTAGTAAATCGATATTTAAACATTTAGTTCCTAATTCGAAAGAATACAGATCATTTAAAAAACCTGGGGTTTCCCGACATAAGCAATCTAATGAAGAAAGTCAGCGTGATGTGTTACAGGCCGTTGTTGAAAGTCTTGAGATATCCACTCGCATCATTGAACATAATACCCGAGTAGCCAAATCCACTGATCACCAACAATGGGTTGGGATTCTCGGTACAAATGTAATTGTGCCTTTTATCTACCAAAACAATTTAACCAAAAGAACTGTACATAAATGTGTTAGAAAATGATTTGGAAGACGCTATAGGTAATTTGTCTTCAGTGGTTACTCATAGCTGCTGATTTCAACAAGATGGTGCTCCAGCACATAAGGCAAAAATCGACCCCTTGTCACCGTTCATTCTTATCTTGGACACAGTGTATTAATATTAGTTCGAACTTGTTGAGACTGGTTCAACTTATAATATTATTTGTCTTCATTCGTATTGGAGCTTACAAAGGACCCGGCACGGGAAAAAAGTAGGTATACAGTGTTTCAATCGTATTCTAAAAAATTCGTTTTTGTACTAGGGCCAAAAAGGTCCAAGATTTTCAGATCGTGATCACTTGTGCTGTAAATAACAATTTGATTAGTAGAGTTGATAAATGCTAAAGGAAATGACTTCTGAACATATTTTGAAATATATTTTATATTTTGTGTGCCCATGTTTCATTTTTTCAAGAAAAACTGAAATATCTCTATTCTGAAATACAAGGTGTTCCATTTGAAAAAACTGAGTTTTGGCACATATTCATATCTTCAGCATTAGTCATGGATTCCGAACACCTTGTATGATATTTTGGAAATGTTACTCCTACAAGACGATGATTGATGAATCAATAATTGCTCATTTATATATTGAAGTAAATTGAAAAACTTGTTTTTGCCAATTTTTAGAATATGAAACCTATTATTTCCCAAAATATAGGTAGCTAAACGACGCGACGGTCATGGCGCTGGTTTTTACAAAAGCGTAAGACAACAAAATTTTATGATATAATTTTTCCACAATCCACACTTTTAACTGTGAATTCACAGTTGTGACTGCTCATTGACTATTAGTGTAATTTCACATAACTGTCGAATTCTCAGTTATAACTGTAAATTAGGACAATCTAACCTGTAACGTAACCTAGCCAACGTTATATGCAACTGATGAATTTTAATACGTAATATGTTTTTAAGTTCTAGAGGCACTAGTTGAATCTAACTTCGACTACGTTAGCTAACAGGTTAGTTATTATTTCATTAACAATTATATACTAAATGAATGTGTTGACAACTACTGTGACGAGTGCAAAGTATACATGAGAGAAATTTGTTGTCTACAGACGCTGATATTTTACAGGAATAACTGTTCACAGTTGTAAATGTGAATTTGTCAATTTACAGTAATTGTGAATTCACACTTATAATTCATTTTGTGGTGTCTTAGATTCCTCTCTATAGTGTTTAATAATGCAGAATCATCATAACTCTACAAACCTGATGTATTTCTTATTTAATGTTTCAGTTGCGGATGGATGCATACAAATGCACTCAAGAAGTCTGCACGAAACACTGTTATTATTTTCTATATATAGAGTAACATAAAATTGCCTTCCTGCCCTTGAGTTATGTCGGTATTTATTTGTTAGTCTCTTCTGTTATTCAGCCTTCATTGTTGTCGTGACTACCTCTCCAGATATAATCATAAATGAAACTCCAACCATCTATTGTCATAATTGAGGGGTATTGATCAGCTATCGTTGTTTTTCAGGCTGTTACTTCGATAAAAAACTTGAAGTACCTACCTAGCTTTGGTTTCCTTGTTGAGACTTCGAGGTATAACTCGTAGTAATGTACAATGTAGTAATGTACACTGATGATGCCTGCCGCCGTAGCAGACGAAACGTTTCGTACTTTCGGTTCCATTTGACGACGGCATACTAGCCCGGATTATGTTCACTATAATCTTCAAAAACAGTTCCGATTGATGTCCTTTTTTTTTAATCAGAGACGTATTGAAGCAGGGACAGATTTGTTTATATTTTCCAAACAATATGCATAATATTCATACTCGTATAGAAAGGAATGTCGGAGAAACTCTTGAAATATTGATTATTATAACAACAGTGCATAATAACTATGAAACCAACGTTTTAAAGTTGTTTTTGATGGATATAATAACGAAACCAAAGCGTCGGAGATAAATTTGAGGTTATTGATTAATGAAAGATGAAACTAGAAGTTCCGGCGTAGAATAAATCTGAAACAACTACTGTTCCTAAACACCAGAACTGCCACACTCTCTTCTTGACGTGCGTTTCACCACCCAAACTGGTTGAAAAGGAAACATTGTTAGAAAACAGGTTGCTTCATTTTGCGATAAACTTATATTTCATCTTGCTGCATTTTTTGTCAAAGGTAACAAACTGAATGTGTATGAATATTTTAACTAATTGTACTAAGAATTTTTCTTTCATTCTTAACCCTCTCAAAAATTAATAAGCACGCCCCCAATTTGCTGTCAAGTGGGCTTACTTCTACTCTCAATCATTATTGGTTTTAGTATAGTCACGGAAAATCAGCTTGTTAGTAATAAATAACGAAAAAGGGCGAGGGATCCCGGAGTTATCACATTCAATCTGCCCAAGTCGAATCGAGACTCAGATATGGCATTTGCGTATGGGGCAATGCACCAGGTGCAAAAGATATTGTCATTGCACAAAAACGAATTATGTCCATTTTTATGAGTCTAATTTAAAATGCAATATTTTGGTGAATACTTAATTCAATCGAAATATCCGTCATTTCAATCAATACACTCTTGCCAACATAACACAAGTATGATTAAATCCATCAACATGGAAATTGTATATTCAGGATTTGATGAAATCGACGTTTTCGCCTGGTCCTGATTGGCGAAGGTTTTACCGGTGAGACAGTTACCGAAGTCTGGGGAGTAAGGTGGATGACACACGACATTAAAACGGACGAAACTTTTGAAACGACCTAATAAATACAAGTTGAGTTCTCCAGTGAGCACTATATATGCAACTATATATGCAAGTCTTCAGTTTTCTTTGTGTATAACTGGTTGCTTATTCATAGATTTGATTCTGTAAGCGAAATATCAGGAGACGGTTATTGAGAATATTTTCCCACATTTTATTGAATGAAGATGGAGAAGTAGAAAGCCAAAATCTTCTTTCCCCAAAAACTAGTCTCCCCTAAGAATTTACCCCTTTCATTTCAAACAAGCGAATGTATGTCATTACGTACTGTCATTGATGACATGAGTAGATTTGACTAATTCCGTGCCAAAAAGTCGTAATTTCATAAATGAATCGAGTGCTCCATTTTGTGATGATATACAGAGTGATGTTGATGAGGCAATGAGGCAAGTGTCTTATTTCATGTATGTGAAATGATTCCTCTTTCATGTATTATATTGTGTAGCAATCCTGTGAATGATATCTCATTCAATTCTATAACGAATGTTAGGAGTACAAACTGAATAGAGAGAGGGCTGATTTTGATCAAACAAATCGCGGTCAACAACGGTCATACGGTAGATATTATAGACTCCATTCTTTCCCAAAAACTACAAAAGCAAGTCATGGACTTGGTCTACCCAAATTCAAGATGCGATAACGTCAGTTATAGGACATTGTCATATTTGGGTGAACCAACCAATAGTATTGTTCGTTTTTTGAAGAAAGAATAAGTCAACGTAGCTTACAAAACGAATAATAGTCTAAGTAAATGTATTAAAAACAATAAAGACAAAACTTCGCGGTCGGATAGATAAGGAGTATATAAGCTGACTTGTGGTTTTTGTCCAAAACTATATATTGGCCAAACAGGGAGAACATTTTTCCGATGAATTGAAGAGCATAGAAATAGTTTTGTAAACCACCGTTTAGCAGAAAGATTTGAGTTCAATCATGAATACGCGTGTCACATTCAGAAGAGAAGAGTTTAAATCTCAATCTTCTAGAATGTTTAGAAATCAATAAATTGAGGAATTCGGGTAATTTACTGAATGATCAATTAAAATTGAATAACTCCCCGTTGCTAAATTTTTTTCAAATGTGGAAACTGCCACATAAGCTCAGGTAAAAATCAGATACTTGAAATGTAGGTACTTCCAATTGTAAAACTAGATACAGTGCATTCCTTTAATGTCCCCCCCTTTTATTTTTTTAACGGGTCAACTCAAAAAATTTTAATTTGGGACAATGAAATTAATGCATGAATACTTTATTTTGAAGAGAAATTGACAGATGAAACTTTCAAAAATCACTTTTCAGTGATTTTTGTATAATTCAACGTTTATATAGAAGTAGTTGTTTCGAAAGTACTTTTTCTTTCGTGTAATTCAATGTTTGTATGAAAGTAGCTGTTTCGAGGGGGCTTTTTTTCCAGGTTCGTGTCTGAAAGTTACTCTTTCGCATGAACTACATACCTGTGCAAAGAGTTTATTTTAAAATTATTTTCTTTCTTCCTTTTTTTGGAATATTCCCATATTTTTTGTTTGAAGATGGAGAAAGAGAAAGTCGAAACCTATCTTTCCCAATCCACTAGCTGTTTCTCTTATCTGACGGTTTCAGTCAGCGAAATATTTTAATCACTGTTTTAACAAATACAAAGTCCAATCAATGTACTTCGCGTAATTTATCGGTTATGTGTGGATTATTCGTCTATTTCCATCGAAATGAACAGCGACCGGATCCTTGTACTGCAAACGGATAACCAAAAAGTTAGAGATGTCTTCCAAAAGTCCAAAAAAGACGTCATGGAGTATATTGAGACTATTAAAATGTGGTTCAAGACCCAACCTCATTTACCAGAAGTTCCGAGTAAGTATTTACCAAAAATAAAAGATATGTTTTTGAATTGACACGAGATGTTTCACATGTTTGCTACACGATATTGTATCATGTTATAAGGGGTTGTCCTTGGATGATGCTTTGTTATGGAACCTTGTGAATCCTGAAACGAACAATTTTCAAAATTATTAGAACTTCAATACTCTTCTCGACGAGCGTTTCACAATCTATTTGAGAGATCGCTACACTCAATACGAAAATATTTTTCCGATACATTTTTTATAACATTTTTCAACAGATATCGTCAAATTTACAGACGGGTAATTGAACATGCAAAATAAATTCATAACAAGAGTAGAATGAACAAAGCTGATAATAAAATCAAAGAAAACTGGGCCATAGTGAATAGTCTAAGAAATAAATCAAATTAAATTCCAGAACACGTCAATTTAGATCCGGGAACACTCAATAATTTATACTGCACAATTGCTCAAAAACTAATTTCATCCCTTGTTCCTACTTCAAATCCTATGGATTATTTAAATAATGTAAATATGCCCAACAACTTTTATTTTGAAATCACAAATTTATAAGAGCTGAAAGAAATCTTGCAAGAAAATAAAAACAAAAATGCAACGGGCATTGATGAAATTTCAATGAAAATTTTAAATAACTTTCCCGATTCCGCTTTGAATACACTAGTGATGGCTATAAATAAATCCTTTTCCCTTGGAAATTTCCCTCCGTGTCTAAAAACAGCTCTTGTAATTCCTATTTTCAAAGGTGGTAATGTAGAAGATCTAAATAGCTTTTCTTTATGAACACAATATATTAACTAACTGCCAATTTGGCTTTCAGAAGACAAAAGGCACTGCAATCTTTTCCTTTCTTGAACATGTCTACACACATCTCAACAATGTTGAGGTCGTAGCTGCAGTATTCTGTGATTTCTCCAAAGCTTTTGATTGTGTAAATCATGAACTTCCTTTTGTAAAAGTTGAACTACTATGGCTTTAGAGGAGTATGTAATGACTGGTTCAGGTCTTACTTAAGTGGTAGAAAACAGTAAGATCAAACGAAAAACTCACACACTCAGGACATATTATGGGGCGTTCCACAAGGATCGGTACTGGGCCCGATTATTTTCCTTATTTATGTAAATGACCTTGTCACTCTATCAATTCGAGGAATTGGCTCCTTTGGCATGGAAAAAATACTTCTAATATGAAAGAAACTCTCTAGTGATTTAGAAGTTGTGAAAAAATGGTTTGACGCAAACTACTTGTGCTTTAATATTAAAAAAACAAACCTACTCACCTTCAGCTGTAATATTAGCAATTTATACTTGAACGGACAAATTCTTGAGAATAAAAACCAATCCAAATTCGTCGAAATCTTCATGGATAACAAATTGAAATTTGATCAACATATTTGAGCTTTGAATAAAAAATTGGCATCAGGATGTTATGCACTTCGAATAGTTTCAAATGAACAAAGTTCATCCACAACAAAAATGGTATATCATTCCCTGATTGAGTCTCACCTGAGATATGGTGTTGCTTTCTGGGGATTTTGCAGTCAACAACTTTGTCATTCAGTGTTTGTTTTGCAAAAGCGAGCGGTTAGATACTTATGCAAGGTGGGAGTGCGTGAGTCATGCAGACCATTATTTTTGAGAGAAAAATTTCTCACTGTTACTTGTATTTTCATACTTGAAACTGTTTGCCTGATTTACAAAAAACGTAATATGGTTGGGACTCCGGAACATACAAATTACATAACCCGGCAAGTAACTGAAAATAAAATACATCTTCCTGTTCCAAAAACAAGCCAGACGAAGTATTCTTTAATTCATGAAAGTAAAAAGCTGTATAATCACATATCTTACGAAATTAGAATGAAAAAAAGCTATAAAATGTTCAGAAATCTTGTTAAAGATGCCCTTGCAACTAAAACGTACTACAATCTTGATAAATATTACAATGGAACTTTGCTGTGATTTAATATAGGTGTATTTTTGTTGTTTATATTGACACCTAAACTTTAAATTACATTTTATACCGGGATATATCTCATTTTATTGCCATGACAAGTGAACTTATGTTCAAATTGTGTATATTTGTTAGTTACATTTTTTGAATGGGATTTTTTTTATATAAAGTATACACAAAGTTGGGAAATTGTTGCAACTTTCTTGTTTCGAGAATGATGTGGAATCGAAATATAAGAAGAGATAATAAAAAAATCTCATGTTGTTTGATTATTATCATTTTGTAGTGATTTCCATACATTCCATACCTGTTTAAAAGCGATTCAAAGAAGTCTTTCCATAATGAAAAGTGGATTTGTAGAGGTAAATACTCAGAAATCGTGGGGAATTGATTGTTATGCGGTGGGCGATATTTTATCAACAAACTGTACTTCTGGGCTGTTTGACTAAATAATGTAAAAACCTCCATACGAGTAATAACTAACTAAAACATAAAAACCAACTAAAATAGCATTCATACCTGGAAAAAATAAAAATAGCATGAGTGAGTCTAAAGTGGAATTAATATCTACGTAGTAAAGAAAACAAATTATCTTTACGGCATGAAATACCATAAATGAGTGGAATGTTAATATTATATAGCGTAGGTTATAGTAAATGCCTGCCGGAAAACAACAACTTTCCCGGCTAATACCACGCTGTACATTTAGCCGGGAAAGTAGTTGTTATCCCTCAGGTATTTACTAGAACCAACCTTGTAGGTATTTGGAAGCTATGACTATTTCCTTCGTTTGAAGGCATGTTAGGCGTACACATTATCGAACCATCAGTCCCCCCTTTCGTAACTGTGTCGTGAGTGTCATTCCAAGTTTCGTCCAAATGGAAAATTTGTTCTTGTGAATATTAAGTTATTTGTTCTGAGTATTTGTTACACAATTACACTATTCTTCTGCTTTCCATCACTATTTGACGTTTGTTTATTATTTTAAGTCTAATTCCTAGTTTCTTTATCCTAGTTTTTTATCTTTATCCGGTCGGTAGCCAGGCGGTTCGACGTGGGTACTTTGTTCACTTACTGGAAATGACTGCCGTGTTGGTCGGTGGTTCAAGCCTTAGTCTGAACGATCGATTTTCACTTGCATTGTTCACCATTGTTTACATATAGAGGACTTATCAGTAAACGAGGAATTATTAGTGTGTTTACAATAAAAAGGATTTTTTTTCAGGTGACCAGTTGATTGAAACGTTTCTATGTCGTGAGTGTCATTCCAAGTTTCGTCCAAATGGAAAATTTGTTCTTGTGAAAATTTAGTTATTTGTTCTGAGTATTTGTTACACAATTACACTATTCTTCTGCTTTCCATAACTATTTCACGTTTGTTTATTATTTTAAATCTAATTCCTAGTTTCTTTATCCTAGTTTTTTATCTTTATCCGGTCGGTAGCCAGGCGGTTCAACGTGGGTGTTTTGTTCACTTACTGGAATTGACTGCCGTGTTGGTCGGTGGTTCAAGCCTTAGTCTGAACGATCGATTTTCACTTGCTATCGTGCAAACCGTATTAGGAATCACACGTTAAAAGGTAAGACCTCGTTATTCATTAGCTCGCATAAGTTTAGACTTCTGAAGGTTGTCGTTCGTAGGGGTGCGACAGCTGGTTAATGGAAAAACAGATTTTAAACAGATTCTGAAGAGTTTTGTCACAGCAGCTCGTGTTATGGCCGGAAGTATTCAATTTCTTTCAGTTGTAGGAATCTCATTGTTTCTGTAACAGTCGCATATTGTTTTTTTTTCAATGATTTTATTAGATAAACATCTGAAGGTTTTGGTAAACCCGTATCACCCGACGGGTAAACCCGTCTTGCGTTCATAAGGTTTGCTTTTTGACTATTTTACATACAGTTGAGAAAGGTATTTCGGTCAAATCTGATATTGCTTGTAAGTTTGTTTCCCTCGAAACCAAACTTGAGATGTAGATTCTTATAACAACATCGAAACATACTCTGTGTTTCAATATTCAAATGCATCCGAATCTTATCCACTGGTATTTCTTTTTCGCATTGTTCACCATTGTTTACATATAGATATAGAGGACTTATCAGTAAACGAGGAATTATTAGTGTGTTTACAATAAACAGGATTTTTTTTTCAGGTGACCAGTTGATTGAAACGTTTCTAGTAACAAATAAATTCAGTGTGGAGGAAACAAAAAAGAAACTGGACATGTACTACACCATTAGATCCGTAATGCCAGAATGCTTCAGAAATAAAAATCCGAAACTGCCGCATATGCAGGAGATATCAAAAAATATGTGAGAATAAACATTATTTATAGTTGACCAAGAGAAAGGGTTTCTAATTTTCTTGAGAGGTTAATCAAATAGATCCGTTTACATTGTGAGCATATTGAATATGTTACTAATTTACATCGTAGTCAAATTCCCAAACAGGTTATTAGGTGGGACTGTCAAATAGTTTTTAACACGCTTTTATTAACTTCACTTGTATGTTTGTTTGTAACTGACTCTTTTGGACTCGATAGAAGACGTATCTGTGTTATAAATAAGGATAACATTGTAAGTATATTTAGATTGATCTTCCTCTTGAAGATGATCATTTGGTGATCGAAACACGTGTCAAAGTATTAAAATAACGGTTTGGTATTGGGAAAAAATCCAGTAATATCCATTGAGTACGTTGATAATCAACCTCCTTTTGTTTTCAGCTACTACTGTCCTTTACCAAAGCTGACTAAAGACCTATTCAGAACAATCATAACAAAAATAGGTGGCGATCCATCTAAATTTGATGTATACAACCTCTTCGCTCATCAAATGAATATAAATGAAATTTTAATACAAGAAGATCTCAACTTGGGCGACATTCTCATATTTGATCTCGAACATTTACAGATGGGACACATGTTGAAGTTCACGCCTATCCATTTAAAGAAAGCAGATACCATTTTGCAGGTAGACTACTATAAAAACACAATATTTTAGTCCTAGCAAAACCGTCGTATTGAATAGAGGAAAATGAGTATCGATTTGACTATTCAAATTATCGTTACCACTTCTAAAATGCTTAAATTTCGATGTGTTCAACTCATTTCTAGACGTTCAACCATAAATCTAAACTTTTGATCATTTGATTTCAGAAAGTTTTCTCCAATCGAATCAAAGCAATTCACCTACTGAATTATCCACCATTTATTGATAAATTGATGGCAATTTTGAAAGCAGTACTCAAACAGAAGCTATTAGACAGGGTAAGTACCATACATACAATGTGTTGAATCAATCAGTGCTTTTTTAGTTCATCTCTTTTTCCGATTCTGAACACTTTTAAGTTCTCATGATTATTTTTATCAGTACGCAAACTAATCGAAACTGACATTCGCTGAGAATATAGTTTTCAACAGTGGGTTTCAACCACTGACAAAGCAGGTACCTCAAAATCATGTGAGAGGTTTTTGGAAGCTTCAAAATACTATGTCGAACTGGAAAATTTGTCCTAATATTCGCCAGTAATCAATATATTTATCCCATAATTTGAATGCAAAAAAACATTACTCAATAAGAGGCGACCAAGTGAATTCAATCAACTAGGAATGAAGGACCACAAGTATAATCAGTAGAAGAAGGATTCCTTCAAGCCAACCTACAACATTATAAAAACGTTATAGGAAAGTTTGTTATTGCTCAAGATCCCTGGGCCTACAGGGAGAAGCTCATAGAAAGGGTAAAAATCCAGGCTTACTTAATTTATAACAGGGCGGCTGAAACCCCGATAACACGTATAATTATCCGGAAAAAAATAGATATACTGCCGTTGAGAAACTTTTCTATTATGGACTTGATGCTGGTCAAATTAAAGCTGATTGGTGGAAAGGACCTAAGAAAATCGTTTTCTTTAACGATTATCAGGAACCGCCACCAACTAGTGAGAACCAAGTAACATATCATAGCTCATTATTTTCTGTGATGCCAATGCACACCATCTTGATCTGGGCGAGCAATGACACCAATTAAAGAGATAGTTATTTACAACAATTAAAATGGCAAACAATTTTGTCATTATGAACGTATGAATATTACTGGAGTTTTTTTCCCAACACCAAATCGTTATTTTTACACCTCGACATGTGTTTCGATCACCAAGTAATCATCTTCAAGAGGAAGATAAAACTAGAAACTACTCAAAACTAAAGCTATTTATGCTATTCAGGTACATCATACAGGTAGGTAATCAGTAATACCACCCATACAAGTGTACCACCCTAAATTAATTTTACAATTGGTCTTTCTATTATTTTACAATATGTACTTATGTATGTTTAAATGTTACAGCTATATATAGAACAATTTTTAGCTATATAAGATTAGTTTCACAATATTGTCTATCTAAATATATTTACAATGTGTCTTTTTGTAGTAATCAGTAAACCCAACAATATTATTTCAACAAGCTATATGGTATGCTATTTGGTATTGGTCTGTTATTGATTAACTAGGCAGTATACAAATACTTGCATGTTTAGGAATAACGGAAGCAATGAAATCTACACCAACACCTACATTGAAGGCATTTTTGAATTTTTCCCTTTTATATTTTTAATAATGGGAAAAGCAAAAGTGGGCCAATTCAGACTGCAGAATTCACCAAGTTACAGGTGAAAGGGTGAAAAAAAATCTGGAATATGTGAAGGAACGAACATCAAACAAGTTGACCACATGACACAGAAATACATGTTGGCGAAAATAGCTGACATACAGACGGGTCAGAAATCGAACATGGGAGGAAAGCTGGAATTCACCGTGCTGGAAGAAATCTTCATTTCAATTGTCCACTCAGCTAGTACATACACATCAGTCTTCCATGTTGAAGTGTTAGCCATCTTATAATGAGCAGAGAACATCAATTTGAGGCCTCAACCAAACGAGTGGATCAATATTTCCACAACCAGGCTGCAATTGGGACACTGATGAACCCAATAATAACTTCTAAGGTCTGGAAATGCTGTTAAGATCACAGGAAACTGGCAGGCATGAATATATTACTTCTATACTGGGTGTTACGACATCAAGGCAACGAGAAAGCTGATGTGTGTGCCAGACACGGGTCACCAACTGCATATGTAGGCATATGAACCAACTTTGGGGGTTCCAAAATCTTTGGTTCGAAACTAGATTGTGAAGTGGGTCTACAATAACTGGGAAAGTATATCCGGGATCACACACCATAAAACCTTCATGAAGAAACGATCGGAGAAGAGGTTACTGCCATTGAAAGAACACCTGAACAGAAAAGAGCTGTATAATGTAGGCCTTAACTACAGGTATAGAGGGAGAGAGGCAACTCGTCCTATTTTAAGAGAATGTGGGTCATACCAGGAGGCAAACAATGTATGAACAACCTAAATTATATTTAGAAGAATCTCAAGCAAGGGATCTGTAGAAAGTAGTTCAGTGAACAAGATTTTTGGAATGGGTGTCATAAAATTTATAAAGAAATAGATAATAAACCCACGAGGATGCGTTCCGCAGCGAGGTTCCGGGAACTTGGAGGAAGTTGTCGGGTCACAAGAAGTAGAAAAAACAAAATATAACAATTTTAAAAATCGAGAAATAGAGCTCAGAAATATGTAATAAAACCAAAGAATATAAATGTGATTTGTTTTTACTTTAGACTAGCTGAAAACAANAAAGAATAATACTACCATAAAATATATGATGTAAAGCAAATTACACGATTTGAATTTTCAGTAAACGCAATTGTCGGCTTGTCAACTAAGCTGAGCTAAAAGTGGGGAAGAAAATGTACGCAAGTTCTTATTAATAGGAGGTTTTCAAGATCTAACAGTTGACATCAAACTTGAAACTGGTTCAGTGCGCTGAATATTTTCCTTCACTAGTTTTTTCTATATTAGGAGTGCATTTTACACAATCGTTGCCAGGATCTGTGTCACTGAAATCAAATAATTCAACCTGCGAAGATGTGAGTATTGATTGCAAAATAATTGAGACAATATTCATGAAAAGTTCAACAAGATTTAATAGAGGCATTATTGATTCTTTTCAATGTGACTATGCAAGTGAACTACCGAAATTGAAACGAATTCAATAAGTGAAATGGAAAAAATATAGTCAATATTTATCGGTAACTATTTCTCCATTAATAGTTCAGTTCACATGTACTTTTTTTTGTAACATTTTTCAGCCCTTTTTTCAAATTTCCAAAATTTTGAAAATTTTCCGAGATATTAAGAAAAAACTAAAGCCCCATTTTTTTTTCACCTAATTGTTTATAACTTTTGTAATTTTCATCGGCGCGTTTTCGGACTTTTCCTTAAACTTTCTAGGCAAAAATACGAATCGAATGACACCTTGGTCGTAATTTTTGGATAGGGCTGAAAAATGTCACCAAAAAGAGCTAAATAATCTTGCAGTTCATAGAAGCACATTCACCTTCTCAGTATTGTTATAATTATCCTCATTATTTTGTTAATCTCAAGTCATAGCCTTGATATTAAATAACAGTTCACGGTAATGAAAGATCATTTAATTTTTTCACTTTCAAAATTCCTTTCTATACCAGAAATATGTCTCTGTCATTCACTACCTATATGATACAATATATTAACAGAGGAAAGGATATTAATTTTTCGAGTTAAGTCTTGATATTGGAACACCGTTGGAGTAAAAGAAATGTGTTGAATAAATGAACAAAAGTTTCGTTAATGTGAACGTTATAATTAGCGAGAACAGAATCAGAACCGGCAAATCGTTATAGAACCAAACGTTTCGTCTGCTATTGCGGCAGACATCTTCACTAAAGATGTCTGGCGCAGTAGCACACAATTTTGTTTATTCACGTACCCATTCATTTAGAAATGGTCCTCATTGCTGAAGATAAAAATTAGCGTCGGTTGCGTATATAACTTACAAGTCCAACGTTGTTAACAGCTGGTAACTGATAAAAAAAGTTATTTTAATCTATGACAAGTAATTCAATACTTTCTATCAAGCAAGAAGTTTTGGTTCGTACTTGTGTACCTCAATTATTTCCTTCACTGTGGAAAGAAAATTGTAGCTGATGAGCGTTTACATTAGATTCAGCCATCTAGGACTTATTTTGCCTCTGGTTTAGGTGGCCTGCTGAAGGGTGAGTTTGTTTGCTCTCCTGATCCAGATTTTGCTTCTGTTTCTCAAAAAATTTGGTGCAAGACAGATTTCGAACAATGCTCTTCAGAAGGCACTGTAGGACATTTTGCTTCACTGAAAAACTGACAATTTTCCAATACTTCTAGCTGTTTTCTCCTCCAGGGATTTTGTTGACAAATTTATATCTTTCACGACAACTGACTTTATATGCTTTCCAGAAATATTGAAAGTCGGCAAAGATGTCCCAATTTTGAAAAAGCAGGACCCAGAAAACCTGGAAAACTATAGGCCAATTACGATAAGTTCGGGTTTTTCCAATACCCTATTTACTCCTATTTAGATAGGTTACTGAAATTCCTAAAAAAACATCGAATATTCTCAGACAAACAACATGGTTTTCGCACAAACAAATCCACAAACACTGCAATAATTTCATTTATCGAAACAGTTTCGATATTTCTGGAATCAGGAGAATGCCCTGTTGGCATATTTTGCGACCTCAGCAGGACTTTCGACTGTGTCAATCAATATCAACTCATGTCAAAGCTTTATTCGTATGGTATACTGTTGCCTATGACTGGACTCAATTGTTTCTGAAGAATAGACATCAGTTTGTTAGCTTGAAATATCATAGTGAGTCTACCACTACTTTTGATTCTGAGGGCTTGGACGTTACGATAGGTGTACCACAAAGATCTGTGCTGGGTCCGATATTATTCCTTCTTTATATAAATGAAGTCGATAACTTCATCCCAGATTCATTCATAACGATGTATGCTGATGACATATCCTTGGTGGTGTCCAGTAATGTGGATCATCTTCTGTTAAAGAAGTGTGAAAGTTCTCTGAAGTCAGTTGTGAATTGGTGCGGAAACAATTCATTGTACCTCAATGCTGATGCTGAAAAAACTCAGTTGGTGAGATTTCACAATCGTCAAAGACAGTGCGAAAAAGTACATTCATCAGTTCAGATGATATAGCATTTATGGGGATAACCATGAATGCATGTTTGACTTGGAAAAAACACTGCACCTTCGTGATGAACAAACTGAATTCATTGTGTTCCCTTTTCAGAAACCTCAGAAGCAATTTGATAGAACAACAACTATTATCTTTATGTCACGCGCAAGTTGCGTCAAGGTTGCGATATGGCATATGTAAATGGGGTAACTCTACACTAGTTTCAGATGTGTTCATTATACAGAAAAGGAATATTCGTATAGTAGCAGGAGTTCCTTGTACATTTTTATGTAGGGATATATTTCGAAAATTTAGAATTTCAACCCTATCCTGTATGTACATTTTTGAACTGTCAATCTATGCTTTTAAAAACAAGAATAGATTTCCTTCAAATGAAAATATTCATAATATGAACACTAGACAAAAACGTGATCTCCATGTTCCGTTTCGTCATTATAAAAACAACACTAAATTGTCCATCAGTGGTAGGTCTTACTATTTTCAATAAGTAATAAAGATATAACAAACCTCAATAAATTCAGTAATTTGCTGAAGAACTATTTGACTGAGAAATGTTTTTCTAATTTATAAGAATTTTACGATTCGTATTATGTAAGTGTACCTGTGCTGTATTTTATTTTGATTTTGTTGTTGTTTTAATAACAACGGTGTTGCTCACGCTGTGAATTTTGTGTCATGACTTTATGTGTACTTTGACGATTCCAATATACAGGGTGATTCAAAAGTACTTTGACAAACTTCAGGAGGTGATTCCTCACAATATTCTAATATGAATTGTCCAAATAAATATGTCCGGAAACGCTTCGTTTCCAAGATACAGGATGTTGAAGTTTTATTTTTATTTTCGTTTTTTTCGAATAAGTTTTGAAATACTGAACTTAATTAAAGGAAACTTGGTAATAGGAGGTTTTTGAGGTGTCGAATTCGAACCTGATGTTCTTATTGCTCTTACTCGTAGGGGCCACCTACACGTCTTTTTCTTTTTTAAAGATTCATAACTTTTTTGAGCCTACTTCTAGCACATTTTTCAGTAAAAAAATCGATTCCTCTATCATATCTACGTAAATAAGCTACCTTTGTTACTAGTCGCTGTAAGCAACTGTTGTCTAAATATTTGGACTTGAAAACTTCAAATCGATTATTTGATAATCGATGCATGTTGAAGTTATTTTGCATTTTTCACAAGAATGCTTTGGAAATAAATTTGACGTTTGTGAGTGGTTTTGGTACTTACATATTTTGTGACAGTTAGACGTTTTGTTGAAGTTTCCGTAAATAGAAGTAGAAAACACTTATATAACTTCAACATGCATCGATTATCAAATAATCGACTTGAAGTTTTCAAGTCCAAATATTTAGAAAACGGTTGCTTACAGCAACTAGTAACAAGGGTAGCTTATTTACGTAGATATGATAGAGGAATCGATATTTTTACTGAAAAATGTGCTAGAAGTACGCCCAAAAAAGTTATGAATCTTTAAAAAAAAAGACGTGTAGGTGGCGCCCCCTTCGAGTAAGAGCAATAAGAACATCAGGTTCGAATTCGACACCTCAAAAACCTCCTATTATCAAGTTTCGTTTAATTAAGTTCAGTATTTCAAAAGTTATTTGAAAAAAACGAAAAAAAAATAAAACTTCAACATCGTGTATCTTGGAAACGAAGCGTTTCCGGACATTTATTTATTTGGACAGTTCATATTAGAATATTGTGAGGAATCACCTCCTAAAGTTTGTCAAAGTACTTTTGAATCACCCTGTATGTTATCTCTGTCTAATGGAAAATAAATATTAGCATTATCATTATTATTATGTGCTTCATTTACAACCGCCTGGAATGAATGGAAGATTATTGCCAGTGAGGTTATTCTGTATCCCTACAACCTTACATAATGTTAAAGTTTGATAATGAAAAGTCATCGGTACCTACCAGTTGGGAATGCTATTCCAAGCGGTTGAGTGTGAATTAAATATAAAATATTCTTTCTGATCGCATTTAAAAAAAGTATTTTCAAAAATAATCGTCGCACATGAATAAATATTGACTTGCTGAACTGTACTTCAATTACACTTTGTGATTATTGCACTGCTTTCATTCGTTTACTCGTGCTTTCCTTGCTTTCGAACTAACTCTATTTCAATATATTGCATTATTTGCAGTTTCAATTTTTGAATATGGAAGAAACATATTCCAATTACGTGAAAATATCACCAGTAGCAACTAAACGAAACAGTGGGATAGCTGTTGAACTACTATTAGTAGCATCAAGTTTCACTTTATTAACATGGTTTGCACAGTTACTTTGGAGGAGGAGGAAGTTATATAAATCTTCTAGTGAACTACCTGGACCAATCGCTTTTCCGCTGATAGGATGTGCTTTGAGCTTCATCGGTAGTCCATATAGTAAGTAATCTCTGAAATTATCCACGCAAAACATTAGGCCCATTAGGGAATCAAAGTAACATAATTGTAACAAGTAACAAGTTTCACAAATAAATTTGGTGTCTTCAGGAGATGAAGAAAACTAATTCCTTACTCTAAAACTTTCTTTTTACATCTAGCAGGGTTACATCTAACGTAATGTCTTTTCTGCAAAAAGACATGGATTCAAAGTTCATGGTCCTTCCGTATAAACAAAAATATTTTAATCGATTAGTTCGTATTTTCAATAAATTCAACATGGAAGCAGCCCTTAAAACTTTTTGATTGGTAAAAATTTTGTAGTATAATGGATTTTAGAACAATTTTATTTATTGTTTTATTTTAATAACTTGAATATCCTTTTCTCACTCAACCTCACTAACAGAAAGTTGTGTTTTTGTTATTTATCTCACAATTCAAATTGAACTTTGTATTATTATTATCGTACTTTTTTCCCGAAAGATGGTGATAAACATTATCAAAATATTGGAACTGGTGTTATAAGACACTTCCATTTTGCTGTTCACCCAAATTTTCAAGTTTTGTTCTTGACTAGTCAGCAAAGACTACCTTGAATAAATATATATCTAATTCTCCATCCTGATACCTTCTTTCACAAAAATTAATCTCTCCTAAAAATATACTGTTTCAATTTAAACAAGATTCCTATGGCTGGGATTCAATCAAATAAGCGAATGAATGTTATTTACGTACTGTCATCGATGACACGGGTGGATTTTATGAACGAAATGAGTGTTTTTTCTTATAATGTTATCGTTTTTTTTTACTGAAGAGCCGATAAGACAAATGTCTTACGGCGACATCGGATGTCTAGCAGTGAAGATGACAGTATTCCGTGCAAGTGAAATTTTACTTCTTTCATTGATTATCCTGTTAATGATATCTGATTTGATTCCATTGCAAATTTTTGGGTTACAAACGGATTAGAGAAAAGTGTTTTTCGTAGAATTCAACGTTCATATAAAAGTAGAAGGCCAAGAACTTTCTTTCCAAAAAATTAATATCTCCCAAAAATATACCCTTTCAATTCAAATATATATTCAAATGAAAAACCCCGTACAAACTTTCTTTGATTTTCAGCTATATTCGCCAATATCACAAAAATGTTTGACAGTTATCCAGGACTTTTCAGAGTGTGGTTTGGTCCCCGCTTGTTCTACGCCGTATCGGATCCAAAATATTTTGAAATTCTTCTTCCAACGTGTTTGAGGAAGGAGCCTTTGTATCATCATGCAAACGTTATTGTCGGCCATGGTTTATTTACTGCACCCGGTATGTATAGAAAATATATATTTAACTCAATCGTTATTCAGATATTCTTGATTACATGACACAAAAAATAACAACTCTCTCTCAATCGAAATAGATATGAGTTATGGTCGGAATTGACGCAGTTGTAGTGCGCCTAACTCACTTCTGTATCTATCAGCGGCGGCTCGTCAGAGGAGGCAAGGGAGGCTTAGCCACCCCATAAAATTTGAGGCTATTCATCGCAATACATTGAAAGATATTGACAAATAATTATGATTATTTTTTTCTAAAAATGTTTGGGTATCATTACTTTGACATTAATTTTTAATATAAATACATAATATGCCCGAAAAAAAAACACTATCGCTGACTACTTAGTACGTTCCACGATGTATCCTGCATCAACAAACCTCAAACGCACCGCCCATGAACGAATAACGAATAAACCCGAAATAATAAATGTCATACGTTGCAAGGGAGCCAAGCCTCCGACCGTTTTAAAAAACACAAACTTCGCGAGACCGATCCAACCAGAGACATACGTCCCGATTTGTACTTTTAGTTGCAGAAATTATAGCGTTAGAGGAGGCTAGCCTCCAGTTGGTCTCCGTTAGTGTACGGCTGCGTTTGTTTTTCATTTAATTATTCGAACGGGATGCCGTGACGGACCGGGACAGAAAAATATTTTGGTATATGCTTTTTGGTAATATTTTTAATGTGTTTTTAGAGTGTTTTCAGGTTTTCACTTTTCGGTAAGTTTTTTTTCCATTTATTATGGATAAGTGGGACGATATAGTCGATTGGTTGCTGACAAATAATTTTAAGTCTTTATCTTATGATAATAAATTTTACATTATTAAAACTCTGGGAAGGCCTTAACCAAATTTGATTTCAATTAAAACGTCAGATAATCGACAAAATCGAGAATTCAATATTAGTTGGTACGCTAAATGCGATTGGTTAACCGGCTCCATTAAACGAGAACAACTTTTTTGTTGGCCCTGTGTTTTATTTTCCGTACAAACCGAATACCAAACGTGGTCTAAAATAGATACTCCGATTTCAAAAATTTACCTCGTTCTACAGAAAGACATTTAATCTAAGGAGCATATATTTTCGTCTTGTAAATTATAATTGTTTAAGCAAACAAAATATAGAAACAGCTTTATCTACAGCTCAAAAAGAGGCCATAATTTCTTTTAATAATCAGGTTAGAGAAAATCTGTCGAATTTAAAAAGACTTATCGATATTACGATTTATTTGGATTCCCCAGAATTAGCTTTTCGCGGACATGATGAAACCGAAGATTCGATTAATCGCGGCAATTACAAGGAACTTTTAATGTCAGGGGGCAAATATGATTGGCATATGTGTGGCACATATTATTGAAGAAAATATAAGCAAGGAGATTGAATGTGTTGATGAAACTACCAATATTACCTGTACATCAACTTTCAATCGTTTTTAAATATGTCAAAGATAAGCATAATTAAGTACTTGTGCTTATAAAATATTTGTGTCAATTTTTAACAAAACTGTTATATTAGAAGTGAAAAGTATTATTATTTATTGACTAAGAAGAGTTCATTTATATCAAATAACTCAAAGACAACTCTTTTTCCTTGTTTTTGTTTTTTAATGGTCAGTTTTATACGTATAATTTTCGGCAATACACAATTTTTTTTGCATTTATGCAAATATTACGTATTTGGCTTTGAATAGGTGCGGTGCCCCAAAAAATTTTCGCGCCTCCGGCGGGCTTTTCTGTGTGTATATAGTCTCTATGACTTTAGCCTCCCCAGTTCTCCAATGCACGAGCCGTCACTGGTATCTGTATCTGTAGAGTAGGGAGGGTGAGTGTAAGCCCACAGAACTTAGGCCACATGTGACCCATTGTACGTACATCCTACCGAGGAGTTGTCCTCCTAGGTCATCGTCCATCCTGTCCTTTCCAGGAAGGTGGACAGGAGACATCTCCTTTAGGAGATGTCAAGACTCGCCGAACACACACTCTCTTTGGCAACCTTGAGGTGTCTCACGGTGGCCTCCGCGAAGGTTTTGGAAGGTGCAGCGACATTACTGTCGTTTCGCGGCTTCTCCAACCTTCTTGGCAAGGAACCGGTTCCTTGCCTTCATTCAAGGCGGAGCTCTTGGCGCCCGCCGCAGAAAGTGCCCTTGCTGTTAGAGGTGGAGTGGGGGAGAAGGAGGGTGCACTCATAGTTGCTGCCATTCGTGCCTTCTTCGCTCTCCTTTTGGCCTCGGCGCACGCAAATGAGCTCACGCCTTGGCCTTTGTATTACATCACGAGGTGATCTGCTATGTCCAGCCTCATTTTAAGCGGTAGATTGGGGTGGACACTTAAGCTCTACCTCTGGCAGAGCCCCGTATTACCAGAGGTAGGCTGGTATATCACCCTGCGGCCATTCAGCTGTCGGCACGATCCTTACGCCTTAGCTTGGGTAGGCTGGTCCACAGTGGCATGTTTTGCAAAGACTTTTGGAGAGTTTTAGTTCCATTCACTCTACTTATTTCTGCCACTGACCAGGAGTTCGGCGACCCCGTCTGTAAGGCCACATTGGCTTCCCGGAAAGGGCCTCCAGCCCCCTGGTCGTCTCCCTATCCGCCACCTGGAAACGCGCCCGATAGGTAGTCCAACCCATGGGCCCTTTACAATATATCTGATTGGGAATTCCAAGCAGCTGGTGACATCCGTACGGAAGAATTCATTTCATGCAGAAATTCACAAACTCATGCATAGTACTACATCGCCAGGCAAATTTTTGGCCAGTTTCGGTTGTTTTTAATTTTTCATGCCACTATATTTATCAAATTTTTTAGTTGATATATGGAAGAAACACAGAAAGTTGATAGCCCCAACTTTTCATCAAAAAATTTTGGATAATTTTGTGGAGGTATTCGCCGAACAAGGTGCAATTCTGGTCGATCAGCTGAAAAAATATTCTGGAAAAGGTGAATTCGACTTATTCCACGTAATTTCGAAATGCACGTTGGATATTATTTGCGGTAAGTCATGTAGTAAACTCCCTTCCAGAGTAAATTAGTGAAAGTTATGTTTGTTTTCTTCAGAAACAGCTATGGGGGTTAAAGTGAATGCCCAAACGACTGATGCTTTGTACACAAAATGGGCTGACAGGTAGATATTTATTTCTTAATATTCATTATTTATATCAATAGCTTGAGTACAAGACAAAACTTCAAAGGCATCTCATATGAATTCAGAAAACACTGCCCTTGTTATTACAGGAGACTCATGGTAAAATGTATAGAAATATTCACAGAAAATATAGTCGAAGTAACCTACCTGCATTGTGAATAGTTAAAGCTATCGGCATCTCAAAGGCCAAAAAACCAATACAGAGAAATAATGCCGCTGCCAACTAGTCCACGTGGACACCGTATAGAAGTAAACACTATATACGGTGAAGTGGACCGAAGAATTGGCGGTTCATATTGGATAATTTTTACTAACCGAGTTTTATGATTGGCTGAAGAATCATAAAATTAAATTTGAAGTCATGTTACGGTGACGAATAGAATGTGGGGATGAGTATCGCCGTTGTGTCGTCAATGTTCAGTTCAGGAACTGATCGCGATTTGAGTGTTAAAATTCGATATTGGTTCAGTTATAATTACTTAAAATTGTTGTTATCTGTTTAAAATGTGGCGTCCTTCGACAAGTAGTAATAGTAATAAGGAGTGTGATAACAACGCAGACTTTTTCCTGTGTAGTGATTCTAATAGCGATGGTGAACTTACTTATTACTTTCTTATTTTCTCCTTCCTATCATCCTAACCAACCCAACTAATATACAATAAATTGATGTATGTAGCCGTTACTACGTGTAGACGTTTTATGTTTTTATGTTGTTACACTCGTCTCGAGCATATGTTCACAGTTTCAGGTGATTAGCTTGTTTATATTGTTGGTGAGAAGCTAGAAATTTAAAAGTGAAAAGTAAAAGCTGAAAATTAAAAAATATTATTAACAAAAAATGAAAAATAAAAATTAAAAGATTACAAACGAAGTTACGTCACGACGCGTTTCGATTGTTAGTATCCACAATCGTCTTCGGGTGATAACTGGACTTATTCCTCCGAGATTCGAATGCTTTCACCTATTCCCTCTCTCCGCTTCATTGGTTTTAGCGGGAGATGACCGTTTGACGGGAGTTGGTCGTTTTTCGCTTGATTAGAGGTTTCCATATGTTACGTATCTCCACGCTAGCTTGACTAAATACGTTGTTGGACAACATGTACGCGGCTTCTTTGAATTTTCTCCTAAACCAGTGTTCCTCTTTGTGGATGATTTCAGCTTGAGCCCACTTGATATTATGTTGATGAGTCCAAACATGTTCTACTATTGCGGATTTGCTGGTTTCTACTCGCTGTGTTTGTTTCTTGTGCTCAGCAATGCTAACTTTCAATGGCCTCTTAGTGTCACCGATGTATGATTCTCCGCACTGGCAAGGTATCCGGCAAATGCAATTCTTGGAATCGCAGTCCGCGTTTGGTGGCCTGGTTCTAGTGAGGCTGCTACGGATAGTGTTCCCAGATCTGGAACAGGCCTCATGTTATATTTGGACCCAATCCTTCTTATCCTTTCCGATAATCCTCTAATGTAGGGAAGTACAAGTACTGGTTGTGGCGGCTTCTCTTCCTTGTGGAGCTCTGGCTGTCTTCTAGCTAAAGCCTGTTCTACCATCAATCTGGAGTATCCTTTACGTTGAAGGTCATTTTTTCTTTTCGAGGCCTTCCTTTGTATTACAGAGCCCGAAAGCACGGTCTAGTAGAGTGTTGATGATTCCTTTCTTAGTCGATTGATAGTGGTTGGATTTCTGGTTCAGATACTGTTCTGTGTGAGTGGGTTTGCAATATACAGATTTTTCCAATTTAGTGTCGGTCCTCTTCACCAATACGTCTAAGAAAGGCAATTCGTTGTGGACTTCCTTCTCCATTGTGAAAGTGACGGAAGGACTTACGTTGTTGATGTGCTTCAGGAAAGTGTCTAGTTCTGCATTCCCATGGTTCCATATTATGAAGGTGTCGTCTACGTATCTCAACAGGCTCGGGGCTTCTTCAATGGCCAGAGTTTCAAACCACTCCACATATATATTAGCTATAACCGGTGAAAGTGGCTATCCCATTGGCAGTCCCTCATCTTGCCTAAAGAATTCGTCCTTCCGTTGGAAGTAGCAGTTTCGTACACAACATCCTAGTAATTCCATGATTACTTGTATCGGTAAGTTTGTTCTATCTATCAGGTCCCCATCTTCGTATAGCTTCTTCTGTATGATTTGAAGTGCTTCTTCGACAGGACCGTTGGTGTAGAGGCTTTCCACGTCGAAACTGATCAGTTGATCCTGTTCTTTGACTTCGATTTCCCCTAGTAGTTCAACGAAATGCCTTGAATTTTTCACAAAAGATGATGTTTTACTTTGCAATGGTTTAAATATTGGTAGTGAAAATCTGGACAAGTTCTGAGTGGCTGAATCTCTGGAGCCAATGATCGGTCTGAGCGGAACATCCTTTTTGTGGATTTTGGGTAGTCCAAACAAGTGAGGGGGATTACTGTGGTGCGGTGTTAGCGATGACCTCTCCTTGTCCGAAAAATAGACTTGGTGTTTTTTCAAAGTCTGGTACAACTTCCTTTCAATTGATGCAGTAGGCTCCCAGATTTGGCTCCATGCGACTTTTTCCTGTTCCCAAGATTGAAGAGACCCATGAAAGGACGGCGTTTTGCGACGATTGAGGAGATTAAAACCGAATTGCTGAGAGAGCTTAGGAACATACCAAAAAGTGTATATCAGAACTGCTTTGAGGATTGAAAAAAACACTGGCACAAGTGTATCATATCTGAAGTGGACTATTTTTAAGGGTACATGAATAAATGAATATTTTTCAGAAAAATGAAAACTATCCTTATTATTTGAACATTTAATAGTGTATGCCAAAAACAAAGGAAGGTATTTCAACAGCATACGCACCTTCATGTAAATCGTCTCAATAAAATATAGAGAAATCGGTTGAAAAGTCATTTACTCGTAAACTCGTTTTTATGTTTGTGTCAAGGTGGATATTCAACAAAGATTGATTGTTCAGAATTACGAGCAGCAAATGCTCCAAGAATAGTCAAGTAGTCTGCGGCATTTCAGAGAAATTCTTAGGGCAATTTGTTTTATTATTCCACATAGGTTCATTTCAAATTGTTTTATTATAATTTGTTATGTAAGTGAATTTATTGCAAGTTCAAAGTGGAGTATAATTTATTTTTTCCATTGTTTGACGTGAATAAAGCTCCTTTCTTCACATACATTTGTCTTCCACCGATGAATATGTAAATCTGAATCATAAATAGATAGATTTATTTGACTGATTCACAATAAGTTTACAGCATGTCGTACATAGAAAATAGTCATAGAGAGACGTGTAATATATAAACCGATAAAAAACTTTTCATTACTTTTAGATTTGAAAAAAATAACGTACACATTGAAATATGTTCGCAAATATNTAAATATAAGTCAATGATTATTGCTCAATATATTAATAACTGTTTAAAATTCATCAATACTATGAAAACAATGGCCTAAAAGGTATTTTTCTAATAGCTCTTTTGAATTAATATTATTCAGTGAACACATCTCTGAAGTCAACTTGTAGAGTTTGTTTGAATCTTCGCATCATACAGAATATATCATTGGGAAATTTATATTAATACCCCCAGCCCGACGCCTATTAATACTATCTTTAACGAAATATGAAAAACACTGACTGATGTCAATTTTTATGTTATTTTAGCTAGTCTCTATTTTAATGGCCCTTTAGCGGCGTCCTCAAGGAGCATAGCGAGTAGAAATATCTCTATGACTTTGTGGATGAATTGCAGTGTCACTGACTTGATACGACTATGTTGCTTTCTTTGATGAACCATTCTTTCACTCTCAGACATTTCTGGATGGACTATAGATAGACGTTTGTTCAAATTTTCTATATGCATATATACCAATCAAGAGAGTCATCGATTGTAATACCGAGAAGTTTGTGATGTTCACCTGTTGTATAGTTGTTGTTGCTTGAAATAATTAATTTTTCAATCTTCTGATCATGCATAAAGTTGGCGGTAAACCAATTTTTCGCATTATGAATGGATTCATCAGTCATTTAAGAAAAAAGGAGGTAAATTTGAAGAGGTGTTAATAAAAAAGAGAATAGTGGAAGTATCAATAGTAGTATGCTGACAGATGTCATTTATATATATGGTGAACAATAACGGTCCAAGTGTCAAGCCTTGGGGAACTCCATATTTGATGGTTCGAAGATCAGAAATATTTGTACCTATTTTTAGTAGTTTTGTCGTCTGTTTGTTAGATAAGATGATAATAGCTTGTGAGGTACACTTCTGATGCTGTAACATTCTAACTTCAGCAACAGAAACTCTAAGAAGGGAGGAAGTTGAGAAGATAATTTTTTGTATAATACTTTTTTGTCTACTGGTTCAAAAAATATATTTTCATAAGAAAAATCGGCCGAAAGATTTTACGTTACTGTCGTATGAATAAAAATGTTTCAATTTGTATGATAGAAAGGTTTAATTGGAATAATTTACTTTTCATATAACGCCATCATTTCTGAATAATTTCTCCATTCTGTTTGCACTTTTAGTGATGTTCCAAATTCAAATACAACCACCGACTCTTGATCTTCCTCTTGAAGATGATCACCTGGTGATCGAAACACGTGTCAAGGTGTTAAAATAACGGTTTGGTGTTGGAAATAAACTCTAGTAATATTCAGCACTCTAATGTGCTATTTTCACTATACAGTTTACAAAACGACAACACATGTAAATTTCTGTTTTCAGAATCATGGAAATTATTTTCATGAGAATTTTCGTCATATGGTACCACTTTGATTCGGTTTTCAATATGACGTCAATGGCTACAGAATGCGGAAAAATTATCAGGAACATGCACCAGTTTTCCGGAAAGGTGAGTATCAAAAATCGGAAAGTTGAACCTTTTGATTCAGAAGAAGAAATCACTCTAAATATTTGAAAACGATTTGAAAGTGTTTGAAAAAATGGAGACTACGTGATAGTTTCAAATTCTAACAGTGTATTCAAGGCTGCAAAAAGCAAACGTTTTTGAATTGGTCACAAACAATTGTTGAAATTCAGTAAACATGATGATACAAACGAATTTGAAATCTTTCTATGGTTTTTGTGAATGAGAATTCTGAGTTGAAAATGTAGCTTGGTATCATATTAAACTAACAATGCCGCCTTCAAGTTGTTTTCCTAAAATCAGATGAATTTATACACATATAAAAACTGAGGATACCCGAACCTATAACATTCTTGCCAAACCCTTGACCTCAAATTGGCAACCTTATTCGAAGAGGAAACGAAGAAGAAAAAACCAACCGATGAACTAATACTTCGGATATACTCTAACGTTAAGACAATGAGCAACAAATCAACTGAAATTGCTGAAAAACGGCTAAACAATAAGCAAAACAAATCAACTAAAATTACTGAAAAGCGTCTAAGTCATATTCGCCTCTTTTTCATTTTTTCTACTTGTTCCAACATACTCTTGTCAATGAAAGAAACAGAGCTCCAAAGTAAGCAATTTCCCTACGCTGGTAGGTAAATCCAGTGTCTCAAGAGCTAGTGATGGTGTTGATAACATCATATTCGTTATTAGATCATTATAGAAGTAAACACACAAGTTAGTGATAAGAGATTACACTAATTTCTTAGAAACGGATTAGCAGCTGCTACTTTGGCTAGGAAGAATCTCATAGGTACCCGTGAAAAACTATTATCTCCAATAAGAGGTAACAATTTGTTGTTCAAACTCCTCTAGCATGGCTCCTTAACTAGGGGTTAGCCGATGACGTAGTCATTTTTAGCTCGGTAGGGTCATTAGCGATACATAACTCAAGCAAAGTACCCTACTTTATCCAAACCTCGATTGTGAAGGAAAAACCTCAGTATCAAAACACTGCTGTTGATTGAAGAAATTGAATAATTGGATGTAATGATTGACAGAAATTTACTTGAAGCAATAATATTGTTACGACCATGATCGCAGCGAACAAGCAAACGAACCGCCACTGGAAAAAATCAGAAAAGCGTGAGAAGGACCAACATCCTGGAATCCCGAATATTCGAGATAAATATTTCAGCGCATCAAGTCTCAGAGATTAGATTAGTTCAGATATATAGTTCCAAGGCTAGTTACAAAAGAGCAAAATAAGCGTCGTGGTTAGAAGCAATAGTAAAAGTGAATCAGATGGCGACTACGATAGATTTAACTAATTCTTTGGAATCACAGCAAGAAGAATAGGGCAAAAAAGATGAGAGGGCAAAGGGGGAGATCAAAAAAGGAAAAAAGAACCTCTTTTTTGCTAGTAAAGTAAAATTTAACCTGAAAACGCACAAACTATCCAATGAGAAAGTCTGGATATTGAAAAATGTTATTATCAGCTTCACTTCAAAATCCGTTAAAGAGCCTTGTTCTGTGTTTCACAGAAAAGCAACCAGCTGAAAACCGGATCCGGCGTTTGCAACTGTTTCCGTTCGATAAAAACGTATTTTTTTTAGGAATGTAGGCTTTCAGGGCTGGCGTCAATGTTTTGGTTAGTTTCCGGGTTTTGCCGTGGTCTTCTTTGGTTACAATCTCATTGGTTACATCTTCAGTGGCGTGGTAAAAGTACTCTTCTTGACGTTTCAGTGGAAGTACCCTTCTTGACGTATCTTAACGTATCAGTTAATAGGTCAAGAAGAGTATTTCGACCAAGTCACTGAAGATGACTGCCGCAGTTAAAGTTGAAACGTTTGGAGATTTTAACAAAACCCGGAAACCTCCCAAAACGTATTTTCATTTGTTAAAGTATTTTTCTAGGGCTCAGACACTACTGCTTCTACGAACTGTTTTGTTTTCACGATGTTGGGCTTGCATCAGGATCTTCAGGATAGAGTTTACGAAGAAATAATTGACGTTTTAGGACCACATCGCGCTGTAGAGCCATCCGACTTACATAAGTTGAAATACATGGAAAGATTCATAAAAGAAACTCTAAGGTTATTTCCAGTAGCTGGACTGGTTGTACGAGCTATAGATGAAGATATTAAAGTTGGTAAGATGTTTATAATGACACCACAGATAACTACAAAATACCAAATCCAAGTCAATTATTTGAAAAGTAAACCTTGAAGTTTATGTTAGTTGCGAGGTAAATCCCATGTAGAAAATATTTTTTCAGGTGATTTTGTTTTCCAGTCTGGCACCTCAGTTGTTTTTGGAATATTGAGAGCTCATACAAATGAAGAGAATTGGCCAAATCCATTCAAATTTGACCCCGACAGATTTTTACCTGAAGAAATTGCAAAAAGGCACCCATGTTCGTATGTGCCCTTTTCTTATGGCCCCAGAAACTGTATTGGTGAGTTGTTATTAACAAATACACTGGGTGATGGAGATTTGTGTTTGGTACATGTACTAATACAGATAATTTAATAGACTCATCTGAAAATACTATTATTTTTCTGTGTATATCAACATCATCAGGTACACACAGGGATATTATGCTTTTGAGAAGTAAAAATGGCATGGCGCACATAATCTTCAAGCATCAGGAATGTCAATACATGGACGAATGTCTTTGATTTTTTCAACCAATGTGATAAAAGTTATTCGAAAACCTTCAAAGTTTTCGACTAATGACGGTGTCAAAAAGATCATTAATTGTGATAATTTATAGTACCTACCTTTTCCTGAACAAACTGAATTCCACTAATGAAACTTGTATGACGAACTAAATGAAAAATGAAAATTCAATATTTAAGACTTCATAAAGTCTGGAAAGAATATTTTTTTTATTGAGATACAAATTGTGCTTAAGATAGTTGTAGACTGTTGCATATTTGAAATTTTTGGCCAAATAGCATAAAATAATAGTGAACACAAATTGAAAAACAAGCTTGTAACGTACCTACTTAAATGAATAGGTACTAAAAGTTTTTGTGCACAGAATAGAGTATTAATTCGAGTAAAATAAAGTATACTTACCTTCTTATAGAATATCGTTATCTTTGATTATAACTTATACAGTATATTATTGTACTTGTATTAATTTTTAGTTTTGTTAGGCGCTTATCCCGCAAATTACTTACAAGCTAGATAAATACTTACATACTTCGGCCAGTGCTGTTCCTTCNTTTCAAATTTCAAATATATGAAATCAGCCAAGAGGAAAATTGAAAGTGGGGTACCTCAGGGATCTGTCATCGGCCCTTTGCTCTTTTTATTGTATATTAATGACTTTTTGATATTTCTATAGAAGAAGGTAAATGCACAATCTTTGTTGATGAGAGTTCTATACTTTGACATCACAATAATGTTGATTCATTACAAACAAATACTGAAAATGACTTGGAAAAAGTGAAATCAAATCAAAATAAAGTGAGGCAATGGTGTGATGAAAATTTATTGTCTTTCAATAGGTATATCAAAAAAAAATTCAATTTCCTTCAAATGCCATTTAGATCAAATATTTCTTGATGAGCAAATCATTGACAGTAAACAAGAGAATAATAAGTTCTTAGGACACTAAATTGAACTTTGGATGGCATATCAGCCAGTTGTGTAATGAGCTTCCAAGAGGCTGCTTTGCCAGGTGTTGAAGTTACTGGTTTGGTGGTTGAATGAAACTTCAGTAATATTCATCACTACACCAAAGGTTCCAAACAGTGCATCACAAGTACATAAGATTTATATCCAATTCAGTTGGATACCATTCAGCAAGAAATGCTAACTTCACCGAGTCACACCTGTGTTAGGAAATTTGTTACTGGGGAGGGGGCAGATTTTCCCCTTGCGACTTCTACCTGATCCCAAGCTTGAGAAGACCCATCAAAGGACGACCTTATTTTTTAACAAACGTCATATGAAACGAGTTACATGTATATCATTTTTCTGCACTATTAAACTTATTTGGGTCTTCAGTTATTCAGTTATTTTTTCACATTTGTTATGAAACCTTCATGAACAAACACAGTAATTGCCACACGCAGAAAATATTTGAATATCATTGTTGATATAAAAATATAATATTGGGAAAAAAATGAGATGTATGAAAATATTTTTTATATTCACTTCAATCAACCACAACAAAATACAGTTTTCTTCACTAAGTGTACAAAATATTATATACAAAAACAATATCAACAACATGAATAACAAAACAATTCAGAGACTAATTTTGAAGATGTTAATTTTCTGTTCTAGTTCTTTCTTAATTTTAACAAGGCATTAAATTCATCCATTGTCTTTCTAGTTTTTTTAATCGTTATTCAGTAATATGCTCAGAAATTCGACAGCCTCTGGAGTATTATTTTTTAGCAAGTAAAATTGCAGTTCTTGAAGGAATGTATACCTGAAAAATAAGCATTTTCATTAAGAAATTACATTTTACTAATCATTATAAAGGAATATTTGCAAAATATATAATGTCAATGGCAATCCGGTTTCCTGCAGAATGTTTAATTGAAATAAAGGCTTACTTCATCATTATTAATATTTCTTGTTACCATCATGACCTAGACTGACGTAGGTCTCTTTCATTCCAANGCCACCTTGAAGAAGCCCTACAGCTCTATTCATCTCAGCCAATGGTAAGTGATGGCGTTCCATGTTAAAGCACAATATTTCCAGTTTAATTGCTGAGCAAGAACTGCATAGAATGTACAAACTCGACACTTTCAGATTATTCATTTTAGCCGAAAACCTACAGTTTGTAAAAAACTTGATAAAAGATTAGTTACCGTTTTTGCAGGCTTTGTTCAACCCATAGAAATCTACAGGGTGGTCGAGTGTATCAATTTAATCGAAATTAAACGACTTCATGTATTTATTTTTATGATATTTAGTATGTTATAAAAATATCCCTAGACTTTTCCGATGTGTGTATATATAACCTACTGAACATGAGCTGAATAAAAAATTCGGAAAGGTGTTTTAATGGTACTTCAACAAAAATGTTTTCAAAAAAATTTCTGTAGGTAGACGCGAAACAAATGATACATCGATGAACAATACAATTCCACGTGTTTTTTTAGGGGAAAAAATTTGTAACATCTAATTTTTGTGATTATTAATAATGAAATCAGACCATTGAAAGGTGACCATATAGAAAAATGAACGTGCCTGACGGACCAAAAAATATCCTTCTATTTGGGCCATAAACATGTTGAGTTGAATAATCTGCTTTCACTGGATGTTCACTTTGAAATCCATGAACATAATTATTTCAAAATTCAGTTGTTGTTATTTATACTTCTGTGTGGTTATTAGATTATTTGATGCTTCGAGAACATTTTTTTAGTGTATCTGTATTGAAATAAGAAGTGTGATTATTATGGAAAAGTTGTTGCATATTTAGACAATAAAGGTCAGCACTAGTAATGATAGAATCATGAAATGTTTACTAGTTCTCGATTACAGATAAACTAAGAAAAGATATGGTATAGTGTTGACGTGACATACTTCATAAAAATTAAAAATGACTTAACAATGTTCGAA